CTGTTGCGCCGCCCGAGCGCGCCGCCGCCGCCGCCGCTGCGGGGCGACGCGATGCCGCCTGCGCGGCCGGGCGCCGCGCCGCCGCCGCCGCCCCCTCCTCCTCCTCCTCCTCCTCCCCCTCCTCCTCCGCCTCCCTCCAGAAGCCGCCGCCACACCTTTGGGAACCGGCCCTCGACTGCAGGCTGTATCTGCTCCCACTCCTCCTCCGCCTCTTTCTGAAACACCCCGTTCCAGCCGCCGCCGGCCTCCATCCACATCCCCAAAAAAGTAGTCTCATGCGGTTCCTTGAGCCTGGGGGGGATGCGGACGGCGCACGCATCGCTCGGTCGGCGTCGGCCGCACGCGAGCAACGCGGGCATGTGGGCGGCAAGAACGACGCGTGCTAGCACAACAGCAAACAGAGAGACATCGCGCAGCACCAGGAGAAGATGTCCCGCGTATCGCCGCCGCGGCTGTCCTGATTAACAGGCATTAGAGGGGGCCGGGACCGCGCATGCGCTCACAGCTTGATGTGTTTGAGGCATGCCATGTCGCGGCTCTCGAGCGAGAAGACTAGCGACTTGCGGAAGGCCAGCATGCGGGCGCAGGGAAAGTGGTAGACTTGGGTACAGGGGCCATTTAGGCAGCCAAAGGTTGCACCACTGCGGGCACCGTGAAGCAGGGGGAGAAGGTGCCGTTGTGTGTGCGGGGCGGAGGGCGCTCGGTCGGGTTCCAGGGCAAAAAATAACAGGGGCTTGCGCCCGCGCCGGTCGGCAGCGGCGGCCGTCCGGGGCCCCGTGGGCCGCGGGCGGCCCTCTGAGGGCGCGCAAGGCCGGCTGGCGGCCGCGGAGTGGTGGTGGAGGGGGTGTGTGACCCGCACCGCTTCCAGCAGAGGTGGCATTCAAAACCTTTGTATACAACATTCAACCCTAAACCCTGCAACCCCAAACACTTATGTGTAACCCGCACCGCTTCCCGCAGAGGCGGCATTTGAGTCCGACGCCATAGCTGGCCTCCCCGTGGCCATAGAAACGGAGGATCGCCTCATCCGCCATGCCGTCAGAGGGTATGAGCCCCGATCCGTTGCTGAACACGGCGCAGGGCTCGTGGTAGAGAATGAAGTGGCCGCTGCAAGGGGGGGCGGGCGAGGCACGGGCCGGCGGGG